TGGTCTAAGTCATTTTTTTGACAATTCATTAGTTTTGAAAATGATTAATTCTGTTTATGATCAACAAAAATATTGTTTTGCTTAGGAAATGCTTATAGTGTATAGAGATGGTCAAATAATAAAATTGCATGTCTAGGATCTTAACTAAAAAACACAAATATGTACTAGCATTTGACAGCACTCTTCAATAAGGTAAAATACAACACATTAAATATCTGGAAATACGGAATTTGTACCACTTTAAAAAATAACAGTTCATTTATATATCACATTAAAAATTTATAGGAATAAAATGCTTTTCATATTATGTGATTACAATAAATAATGTAAAAATAAACATACAAGATTACAGGATGTAATGTATCTTCAATATAGTTGGAGATAAAATAAAATATGATGTGCCAAAATTAACTAGTATTAACTATTACATATTTCTATATTACTTTTTTGCACTTTTATGCATTATTGTATCAGAAAAGTGCAATTGCACCGTCTTTCTTTAATGGAATCCTGTTCTTTTGAGCACATTAATTGATGCAGTTTATTACTCACTACAAAAGAGTATTAAGATACTCGTTCACTTACATTTAAATTCATATATTAATATTATTTCAAATTTTATTCCAATTTTAAATTTGCTCAATTATTTGAATGTATCAGAACACTTAGATGTATTGTTCACATTTACTACCTTATTATTATCATATTTTAAAATCCAAATAATTTTTGTAGGATGAAATATATTTTAATGATTTTATACTTTTTATAGAGTATGAAATACAGCATCAATTAACACCTTAACGACGGATGACGCACTATTGCGTCATATCAAAAACTGCGTTTTGTTACGAATAATGCAATGCTGTGTTAAATTAAATACTGCATTCTGTTACGGATGACGCGACGTTGCGTCAAATGACTATTGCCCCGTAAAACTGAAATACGTACATAGTTCCATTTCAGATCGCAATTATAGTAGACAGTTCCATACATAATACAATAAAATAAAGCTAATTTATATTGTTATAGTTATCAGTGCATTAAAATCATATGTAAAACAATTTACAATAAAACTTTCAACCAAAATAAATTTCAAATTTTTTTGGACAGTTCTGATGGAAAGGAATCAAGTGACTGGTGTATTTGAAACAGTCCTAAAAATAATGAGAATTTCTTGGGAATTCCACGAATGCAAGTTGTAGGTATGTAATTATAAAAATTGCATTAATGTGATCTAGCTGTTTATTGGGGACGATATATTTATATTTGAGTCTGCATTGAAACTAATATATATTATAAATGACAGAAGAA